GTTAAGAACAAGATACTATGTTGAATGTTTAAATTTGTTAAACTTAGTCCTCGCAGTTACCTGTGGAGGCATGCACTGTTATCCCTATGTTATAGAAGAGAAAACTAATTTACAAGGAGGTTGAATAATTGAATCAAGTTTACAGAGTCTGGAAGAAGCAGGACTGGGATTAGAAGACAGCAGACTGGTGACAGCAATGCTCCTACCTTCTTTACAAGCCTATCTCAATTGTGATCTGAGGGTTAAGGCCTGGCCTATTACTACATTTCATTCCTAATAACCTAGTCATTTAACTTTTAATATCAGACTCCTAATAGTACCTTGATGAAATATAAATTGACCTAATCAATATGTGGGACTAAGTATTGGAAACTCTACAAAAGTGATGGCTCATTAGAGACTGCGCTACCATCATTTAATAGCCGCATTATTTCACTTCAGCCACATTAAAGGTTTTTTTTTTCTTTCCTTTTTTTTTTTTTTTTTTTTGTTTTTTAGTTGAATGCCAGATCAAATTGAGAGGATATTTAATTTAAAAAACACTGTGAAATGCCAGAATCACACTTGGCCTGCTCAACCCTGGGAAAGGCACTCCTGAACCAGAATGCCAGAAGAAACAAAGGGTTCAGTTCTAATCTCATATTTATGTTGGAGCATATGTCATTTCAAACATTTGTCGTGAACTGTGTAAGTTAAATGTGTCTCTACTGTTTATGTATGTGTGTGTTGGCAGTGTAGCTATAATAAGAGATATCAGCATTCTTGCATTTAAACATAACATTCCAAGCTTGGGGCTTGGAAATATAAGATAGAAAGAAATTATGAGAGCTTAGTAAAGTGAAAGAAACTAAATGCAAATAGACTTGAAGGAATCTAATTTAGAGAATAGAATGTTGGTACAGCATTATGTAACCAATTTAGTCATATTTAAAAAGATTAGATATAATTTTTCAACTACTGGGGAAAAAAAGAGAAAATAGTTTTGGCAAAGATCAAATGGAATGAATACTCTTGTAAGCTGATGATGGGGACATGAACTGGCATCAGTTTTAAACTGTGCAATTCGGACAAATGAAGGACTATGTGCCTTCAATCCAGCAATTCCATTACTAAGAATTTGTCCCAATATTTGTGTACGAGGATGTTGCAGTCTGCTACTAGCAAGAAACTATCAACAGCTAAAATACATGCCATTTGAAAGGTTAAATAGTATGTCCTCAAAAATGTTAATGATCCAAGACAAATACAGTAGCATTTGGGAATGCAGGTGGTGTTCATTTTCTGAATTTTCCACATTATTTGGCTCTATTAATTTTGAATGGCAGAATAAAATAAATTCTAGATATGTCTAAAATGTACAGATTTTAAGTATAACATAAAAATACATATATATGTGTGTGTGTGTATATACACACACACACACACACACACACACACACACATATATATATATATATATATAACCTAATGAAGAAATAGAATATTCCCATCATTCCAGAAAGTTTCCTCATTCTCCTTCCCAGTTAATAACCCCCATCCCAACAGTAACTACTGTTGTGAAATAATCAGTAACCCTTGATTGGTTTTGTCCAGTTTTGATCATCATATAAATGTCATTCTACAATATACATACTTCACTGTGTCTGGCTTCACTTGATCAACACAATGTCTGTGAGATTCAACCATGTTTTTTCATAGAATAGCTCTGTAATTATTTAAAATTAAAGTTTATTCCATTTTTAATGCTCTGTAATATTCCATTGTATAAATAGTCCACAATAGATTTACTTATTTTACTATTGATGGGAATTCTTGTTCATATCCTTTGGTCGAGATGTCCTTCTTTCCCTGGGGATAAATCTAGGAAAAGAATTGGTAGGTTATAGAGTAAGCATACATAGCTGGCTTTAGTGGTTTACTGGTTTCTGTTTTCCTGCCTCAGTCCAACCCTCTTTGTCCAGAGTAATCACCAGCTGCAGCCAATTTCATACTTCTATACTATTTGCTCCTGTATCATGTTCCATGCCATGTTTGCACTGATCTTCACTCTTCTATGCTCGGACCCCACTACATGCCACAGCAACACAGCCCAATGCACCTTCCCAAAGGCACATGTACCTTTCTGCTCATTCTTGCTCTCCAATCCTAGAATTCAGTACAGAAGTGTCTCTAATAGCTCCGCATTTACTCATGTATGATGGTTTTGGCACTGTCAAATTTTACCTTTCAAATTCCTTATATTCCAAGTGGATTGGAAAAAAGACAAGAGTTTTCTCTTTTAAAAACTTTATTAGGCATTGCTAGATGATGTTGCAAGATGTACTGCACACATCATGCGGTAAACAGCACTCCACAGTAACCCATACAACAGCTCATGAGTGACAATCAAGACAGTTTGATTCCCATTATAGTTTGTATCCAAGTAGAGTGAGTGTCTTTAAGTACTTCCATGTGATCTGATCTCGTAATTAAGATTAGCCTTCCATTCTAAATCCAACCAAGAATCATTTAAAAAAAAAAAAAAAAGCCCGATCACAACAAAAGGCCATTGGGACATTATCTAAAGTCCAGAATTAGGCTCAAAATATCAGAAAGTATCCATCTTTTGAAAGATCTGTTCCTAGAATTTGTGTGATCTGACACTTGGGTCGCTTTACTGCCAGCAGTGAGTGAGATTGTACTTACGAAGGAGTAAGTACATGGATACATGTCCACTGAAAATTCTTGAGGTAATAGATGTTTAATGTCACTTTTTAAAAAATCTGTTAATTTCCTGGTCCTGTCCAGCAGGACCTATCCATTGACAAGAAGATTAATTTTCTTTTTTTTTTTGTCAAATATTTACACATATCTGCATATACAACCTGCGTCTTTGTCTTTTCTAAACATGTTTTATTTTAATTATTCATCATACATTCATCAGGATAAGTTGAATTACATACTACTGTACATACAGAATGCAACAAACCCAACATTTTATATAATAAAACTAAAACAAGAGGCACGGACCAAGAAGAGAAAAATAATATATTACAGAAAATGGCTTGAGGTTGGTAACGCCCACTGTGAATGAATAGCAACCTGTAGATAGTGAACACCACGGCTCTCCAGTATCCGTATGAAGGTATAGTACAGATAAAATACTGCCGAAGATGAGTTGTATGGTAATCGGTCAAATTTCTGAAGTACCATATAGTTACTTTTATTTCTAATGCTTTTTATTAAGTAGTTTTATCTCAATTGGAACTCTAGACAAGACCGACAGCATTCCAACTCCTGTTGTAAACTTAATCAACATTCTTTTCTATGGTTTTAAAATACATTTTAATTTCAATGGCTTCAATTTCTTGTCTTTTTTATACAGTTTTTTTGTGTTTTTATACATTCTCTGTGTTTTTTTAATCCATTTTTATACTTCAGCTTGTAAAAAAACAATGAATTTAAGAAAAATACATTGGCTAACCTGCTGCTCTAGAGTAGTACAGTAGATAAGATGGCAAATACAGTCTATATACATCTCTAAAGGTATACTATCTCCTTAGCACTTTAAAGAGAGGGACCAAAGAACACTCACAAAAAATATATGGCTCTTTAGATAAGAAATAAAGTCAAGTGAAAAAAATAAGGCACTAATAACATATATAAATTTATAGACTCATCACACAAAGCACCATATGGAAGGTTAGAGGGATTAAACATTAGTGCTATTGGAAAATGGGAATTAACCCAATGTCATCCTTTCTGTTCAGTAATTAATGTATAAACACTAAAGTGGCGAAGAAATATATACTATGCTAAAAGCACACTTCATGGAACCAACAGCATGACACAATCATGTGGGAATAAGTTGAGTGCTCCAACAATATAAGAAATTAAGACTTTTAAATAGTCCTTGTTTTCCAACATTTCCATCTCAATAAAATCTGTATCTTCCTTTCCAACTTCTGTTCAGGGATTTCTGCATATTTATATGAATGTGATGTATTTTCTTATTTTATTTCTACCTGTCTCTTTCTTAGAATATATTCAAAACAGTTTCTTGTACATAGTTTTATGAACACCAAAGATAATAAAATGTAGAAAAAGTTAAAAAGTAAAATCACTTAAATATTTTCCAACATCATTGAAAAAAATCATAGAAATATCTTTCAACCAGGCTCAGTTTAAACATGAAAAAATTATGATATGTTATTTGGAGAGTGGCTACAAATTTTTCAGGAAACAAAAGCATGCAATATTATGAAATGATGGACAAGATCTGGTATACACTACTAGTGAAATGTATTCATCTTAATATTAATAATTTTTTCTCATTTGCTATTGTTAATAAGAATATAATTAAAATGGGATATATTCTCATATTTAAATGGGGGATGATAATTATTCTTTGAAATTGCAACTTCTGAATATATAGTAACAACAGATTAAGTATCCGAATATTTTCCTTTTTAACATTTTACACTCTTTGTGAAAAAAAGAGAATGAGAATAATTTAATTGTCCCATAGTTTTATAACAGATACATAAATATATTTGTTTTAGGAAAATGTCATATAGTCCATTTAAAAAAAAATAGAACTAAAACAACTAACTCTCATGGCTTCTTAATAAATAATTTGTTAACATAAATTAACATTTTCATGTTATTTTTGTGTTCCTTATACATAAAATTATTTCTGTGATCTCTCAAAATTTACTAATTACGTTAATAATTGGTTTCATAAGCAATAAGACTGTCAATTTTCATATTAAAAATATGTAACCAATCATCCTTGTCAAAATAAATGGCAATAGGATTTATATAAACCAGTTACTGTTCCAGGCTTCATATGAAATATAAGGTTGTTTATTTTTAAAATTCCATCTACAGAACTTTAATTATGATAAAAATGATCAAATAATAAAAGCAAGCTACCGAGGGGTTGTCATATGAAACTGACATTTAAAAGAAGTTTTATGAAGAGTTTGTAGTTAGCTGATTAGAAAAACATACTTTACCTAGAATTTTCTTTATAAAGAAACAAAGTTTGTTCATTTTTCATAGAATGAAAACATTTAGACACTTACATAAAATATTTAGATACTATCTGCTTGAAAGAATCAACAAAAATATATTTGGATCATAATGAAAAATGTTATTTTTAAGAATTTGACTGGATTATTGAGAATATCTCCCCAGCTGGAGCATGAGATGAACACCTCACAAATTTGCAGGAAACCAATGACTGATGGCAGTTTGCCACCACAGGAAAAAGGGGAAATGACACCCATCTAGCAATGTCTGGAGACCTTTTGCATCCAACTTTGGCTCTTCCTTTAACTTTCTGTGTCATGCACCAAACTACACTAAATATCTTGAGTGTGGTTCATATCTAAATCATATTAATGAAAAGTTGAACATAGTTTCTCTAGAATAGGACTAATATCAGTTATATTCATAGAGATCCACTTTACAGATTAAAAAAATCTAGTAATGTTCACAGAGTATGTATCCACATTTTAATCTTATATACAAATGCAACTCTTTATAAATCCACTCCAAGTCCAAGCTTGGGACTTTGTGCCCAAAGTCCATAAACCATAAGTTATTTTGGAGGGAGGATAAATGCCTTCTGATCCGGTTAGATGACATGTCCACACACACTTTCTGTTTAACTAATAGGTAAACACAATATTGATCTAATGATATTCACAAAGCCATTTTTGAAGCTTGGTTTTAGAGCAGTACTACACCCCCTTACCCATCCGACATCTTTTCATCCTTCAGATATACTTCTTAGCAGAGGGCTAGGCAAGGTTCTCCAACTCCTACCAAGAAAGAGGAAAAGTTTTCCAGGAACCTGATACATTTTAATTGACAGATAAACCAAGGTAAATTATGCTCACTCCCATCGCTAAATTTTGGAGTCTTTGCCGTGTTGAATTTCATCATCAGAGTGAAAGAAGTTCATGGTGAGACAGAATGTATTCCATACTTGGTCAAGATGGCTAAGGACCATAGAGGCAAAAAGCAAGACATTCAGGAAATCTGAGAGAAAACAGAAACTTGGTATATGGGTATCACTTCACGAGCCTGAGGGGAAGTAGTTTAATATGAATAATGAAACAAAGTGACAAAAATGTGTCACAGAAATGAAAGAAAGTGTGTTTTCTATGTTGATAAGTGTGCAGAATCTAAATGATGGACTCAATATACTTAATGAGGTTTCTTCTGGAAGGCAAAAAGAAGTGGCCCCCCCACCAAAAAAAAGGCAGTGATGTTTTATGCATTTAAAAAAAAATAATTTATTGCCTTATAAGTCCCTAGTGTTATTTTCAAAACAGTCACTTCTTTAGGGATAAAAGGAGTATAGGTTGTAATATGCATGACTACACATTTCTAAAATTTGCGATATGCATAGGATCTATAAGATATGTAATATATTAAGGCTCCAGCTAATGACTAATTAGACAATTACAAGTCTCACACCAGTGGGACTCTGTTTCTTGGATTTGTATAAAGTCAACTGAAGTTCCAGCCTCACAGAAGTGACGTACATTCGAAATTTCACATAATACATGGCTATGAAATGAGTATTACGTTTATCTCAAAATGAGAAGTACAGAGAAATCTTAACTACATTTGGCTCTTAAAGGTTCATATCATAGGTTTGCACCCACAATGGTTACATTTCACAATCTTAAATACTCCCCAAATTTTGGAACTATGATTTTGTGTAGATCATACTTTAATGCCTCTATAAAAACATTTAGATTTTATCAAAGTAATAATTGTGGGTATACATATTATAATGTTATTTTGGAACTGATTTTTCCATATTAGAAAGACAATGTCATAATAAAATTATAATAATTTTAAAAAACAAAAATATGCTCAGAAGGTGATGGGTGATAGTTTTGACTTACCATATGTCTAGTAAGAGAAACTTCTTCTGTAGAATTCACAAACTATGAAAGTACAGTTAAACCTTCAGTAGAAATTAACTTAATATTTTAAACAAACATTCCAAATAGGCGATTACGTAACATTTATCAAGTATTTGCTATCTTTGTCAATTTCCAGATTAACCAATCTCCGGGTTTATGATCATTTCAGTAACTGATTTTATTTTTCAAAAAATGTTTTACTTTTTTCAAAGTTTTAGCTTATTATTATAAGATGACACTTATTTGGTAACAGTGTTATTATACTGTCTCAATAATAAAACATATATCAGTTGCTTTTGTTTTATTGTTAGATTACATACTTAAATGGCACAAGTATTTTAAAGTGCATCAAGGAATTTTAAGGCTATATTTATAACATATATATTAACACAAAACAATAAAGGTGACCATAGGAAAATTACTTTCGATAGCTGGAATAGATTTCAGCCTCAAATATGGCAGGATGAGCATATAATCCAATGTGATGACTCACGTTAAGGCATTGAGCAGTTTGTTTATAAAATTAAAATTGAAAACGGCTTTGGGCATGAATTTTCTTATTTTTGTACTTAAAAAATAAGCAAATTAGTGCCATTTAGGTCACGAAATTTTTAATAATTACAAGTTTAACAGGCAGCCTAGAAATCTAACGTTAAGAACAACTGCATTGCACAAGGGAAACAATGAATTGGTAACTTGGCAGATACTCTAATCTGACAAAAGTCAGGAAGGAATGTTGATGTTTTGCACACACATAACCACAGGGAGATTTTTAATCCCTTCCCGTTTCTCCTCTTTTCTTAAAGAGGACTAGTTAGAATAGTAGAGGTGTGGGAAAAAATGAGTTTGGGGATGGACACCAGAGACTGCAAAAGTGTACTGTGGTCTGTAGGCATTTTAGAGGAGCACTGGGTCATAGTGTCTGGTGGGTGGACTGAAAACAAATGCCAGGATGGCAACTGTCACAGAGCAAGGAATTCCCTGACAGGCACCACTGAACCCTGATACCACACTACAGAAGAGAGAGAGAGAGCATGTTGTAACCTGACTGGCTGAGGTTTAATTATCTTTGATTGTTCTCGGTCTGTTCTACTCCAAGTATAGAATAGCACCTGACAGAAAATCAAGGTTGTTGGCAACAGGATGCTGCTTGTACTGAAAGCTTTCACTTCTCTCCTCTTCTTACTCTACATACAGAAAGGACTAGAGAACAGTTAGGATTCACTGTACAACGAGTATTTCATATTATCCCATAATTTATAATCATCCCACCAAACTACATAATCTGATTTGTTTTTCCATGGATTATTTATTGTTGGCATTTTTAATTGCCAACATATTGCTTCGTACTTTTTACAACAGCGTAATTAAGTTCCTCTGTGGAGCAGCATGCATGGACACAGAGAGGGATTTAAAAAAAAAAAAAAAAACTTGACAAATATTATTAACTGGGCTTGAGTATCATTTCAATTCCTTGAGTTTTAAAAACTAGGCAATCCAAAAATCAGTTCATCTGTCACATTTTCTGATATATATCATATTTTATTTTTACTGGAAAAGATTAATATTCTTTTATAAGTTCTGGTGATGCACTTATCTGTCTAATTAAGCAGGGAGAAAATTATGTTTCAGATTTCATTTATTTTTTAAATTATGCACGCCTGCACAATCTTTCTTTTTCTCCAAATAAAAGGTCTCAACTATATTACTTCCATACTCTCATCTTCTAAAAATGTATTACAAATTTTGTTTGAAATATCTTCTAAAATTCAAATTTAAAACCTTATGGAAATGTTTACACAAAGTGACAAAAGGAGCCTTCATTGATGGTTTGTACTAGACAATTGAATATGATCTTGATGTCCATTCAACTGGGGACTAATTAAAAAAATTAAGGTATACCCCTACAATGAACTATGAGTACTTTACAAAAGAATGAGGTAAATCTACTTTAACTCTTATGGAAACATATCTACCAATATATAGATATATAACACAATGAAAAGGAATCACAGCACAATAGTATTATTCTATCTATATAAAACTAATACACACACAGACACACACACTTATTTGTATATATGTAGAAAGTGTCTAGAAGGACACATACCATACCATTAATAGTGGTTACCCCTAGAAAATAAGGGGTGAAGTAAGCAGAGGAATTTGTATTTTATAATGCTTTATAGTTTGATTTTTAAAGGAGTATATATTAAATTTACAATAAAAACATACAAAAATGACAAACCTTGGATAGAAAATATTCATTTTATATGCACCCTTACTTTTCTAAAGTACATTTTAGAATTTATCCCAAAAGTTACTACTACTGTTTTAACTTCAAAGTTGGCACTCACATATAAATAATTCTTTTTATTTTCTTCTCTCTTTATAAGATGTGGATGAAACTTAGTAAAAAAATTCACAAATGATTACTTTAAGTTACCAGCAAGGAAAGGCCTAATACATATCAACTTTTAACGAGAAAAATGTACACATTAAAAAAAATCTATGCAATATAAAAATGAAACCCTATGCAACATAATATATGCTATCTAAAGCATTGATTAAATAGCCTTTACTGGTAACAGATACCACTTTGTAACTGGAATATTGGAAGATTTTCCAAATAATATAAAAATACTCCCAAAAGATAAATCATTTAAAGAACGGAATAAAAATCCCTGAGTAGGCCAAAGACAACATATCAATAACCTAAGAAAATAGATTATCTAAGACCAGAGAGCACATTGTTCAACCAGTTCGCATATATGTGTATGGCATATGTATTCATAGGCAGTTATGGAATTATAAAACATGACATATGTATATATCATTCTTATAAAGATTTGCTAGCTTTAGAATTTGTCATATTCACATATTGCTGAACTAACACCCAAGTCTAGGAAAAATGAATTTATCAAAATTAAGCACATGTATTACAGAAATGTATTTAGGCTAGACGTTCTTATTCTTTTAGTTTCCTTACTAGAGCACCTAAAACAGGTACTCAATAAATACTTTTCAGATTAATAGGTGAATAAACTAGTATTAATTTGTGAAACTAGAGTATCACTTTTTCTTATATCATGTTATGCTTTAGAAATATGCCATTCTAGAACCATAAATATAACAAGCTCCTTGAACTGGAAACCAACTAGTCTAGAAGCTGCAGTATAGCTATTCTGTGTTATTCGGAAAGAATGAAAGCACTCTGGCTGTTACCCATGCAAAACTTCACTCTTGTGACTTTCTTAGGTGAAAAATAAAATGTTCTTACACTCTGGAGCCCAACAAAGACAAACTATCTTACATGTTTTACCATGTAAGTGGTTTCAAGTCAGACAAGATTGCTGACAAATAAATGCTACATGTATGGCATATAGTTAATTTTAAGAATTTCAAAATAATAGACACAATATGCTTAAGGGTCTTCCTTTCTGCTGATGAACTTTGTGATAAAAATAAAGGAATATCATAGTTTAGTGACTTGTCCTCCTCTTCTTTTTAAAGACGTCTCTGTTCAGAAAAAAATTCCTGAAAACATTACCTTCATTTTTTTTGTATGTATGTGTTTCCTTTTCCCAAAAGCAGTTTACATCTCAGAGAAACCCATGAACAAAAAGAATTATCAAATTACTCCTCCATAAGATATCAACAATATTATGCATTTGAGCAGTAAACATAAGAAAAATTCTTCAAAATTAGATATTTGCTTATATGAATTTGTGGACAAATAAGAAAAGACATGAAAGGGAAGAGTGGTGTATTTAATGTAAAGCCTCAACTTAAAACAGAATTATCTACAATTATAAATTGGTTTAAAAATCAACGGAATAAGGATTTGTTTAAAGGCTAAAGCAATTTTGTCTAAGCATGCCTATTCTTTGGATGAAATAATCCCACATATAGGATTTATCCATAGACTGAAGCATATATGCCAACATACAAGAAATCTGAAGAGACTGAATATTTGGGACTTGAAAATGTCCTAAACAGCCTATCCATTTTGTCAGTTCACAAAGCTTGATACTCCTTGGGGTGACATTGCACAAATTTATGTGTGTGTGTGTGTGTGTGTGTGTGTGTGTGTGTATGTATTTGTGACAAAAAGAAAGAGCAAGAAATACAAAAGGTCAACATCAAAATAGCCTGTTGTCTACATTGACTTTAATTCAATACATTACCAAATTTTGCCCACAAAGGAACCATCATCTTTAAATAGGCCTGTGAAATTGTGGAATAATAGTATAGAGGCATGGAACTAGGAAAGTACAAGGTTATCAGACCTGCTATCTTAATCTATATTTATGTACACACACATTCACACCCCTACACATATATACTCCAGTAACTCATAATTCTCTCATTAATTTAGTTTCATTAGTTCCCTTTGGGCACTGAGATTTTTAGCAATTATAGCATCTGAAGGATAAAGGAATCATGGTGCTTGGATCACAGATGAAAACAAGTACATTTGGTGTATCTTCTGCAAAGTGGCCTTGCTTGTTGGTACATGACTTCAGCTATTCACACCAGGTCTCAGAGATGGCCTGGAGGGAGGTTCGGGGTTCAAAAACAGTCCAAGCAATGCTCAGAAGAGGTGTGCTCAGAACAATTCTGAGGACAACTGGTTCTTATTTAAAATATTTTCTTCCAAGAACCAGGAAGATCAGATGTCTACAGTTTATGAAAGTGACCGTTTTTTAAAAGCAGCAATTTGTTTAGGGAGGGAACAGGATACCATGTTGGGAGTGCACCGTAGCTAGAGGCATTGTGGCCTACAGAGAGCCACGGGGAAACGAGATGGCAGAGGTTCCTCTCAGTAATTTTCAAGATGTGACTCACAGGCGAGTATATCATTCTGTACAGTGCCTGCTCAGACAGCTTAGTTAGATGGAGTCATCTGCAGTTTACCAGTGCATACCTGTCCGTGATCGTTTTCTCTGCTTTTTACAAAGGCAATAGATAGGAAATACAAATAAACCTATGAATTTAAAAAAAAATTCAAGTTAATTAGGAGAAGAGGCACTGAAGTTATATATTTAAAATTTTCTATTTTTGTTTATTTTCAAACTGTTTACAAATAATCATTATTTAGCAGCACATGAATATCAAAAGAGAAAAGATATCTATACTTTGAAATGTATTTATTTCTACAAGATTTCATTTTCAGTTTTGGGCAATATAGTATATTACTTAGGAACACAAACACACAAAGTGAAGGACTATATATCAGGTTTGCTTTCCATTTATTTCTATCACTTATGAGGGCCTAAAGAGCCTTATTTCCCAATGATTAAATATTGATTAAAAATATCTTCTTCATAAAGTCACAAGTAACACAGTACTTAAATGTCAGATACTTTACAATTATATAAGGGGGTCTTCAAAAACTTTATGAGAAATGTGCAGTATGAAAAAAAAACTATGCATAAAATAAAAAATAAGTTTTGCACCCAAATAAACTTGTAATTAATTCCATTTTCCACAAACTTTTTGAAGTCCTTGTGCATCTGTACTACTTCCTAAACAGAAGTCTGTATATAAAAACATCAGTTTATTTAGCATTAAAAAAAGAAGAAAAATTCCATCTATCATGTAGACCAATCAGTAAAGCAGTCTTTATCATGTTTAATTTAAAATTCTATAAAGCTATGGTTCTCAAAATAGTCCTAGAACTATCAGCATCAGCATCAACTGGGAATCTTTTAGAAATATAAATCCATGGACCCTCTCCCCCTATTGAGCTAGAAACTGTGGGTAGGAATCAGCAATCTGAGTTCTAAAAAAAAATAATTTTACATGCAGTCACTGTATGCAACCCCCTGCCCATAAATTTGGTATATGTTCCTACAAACTTTGAAAGTTATTTAAGGCATCTTTCATTAGATCAAACCAAACACCTAAGGCTGCACCACAGCCTTCCTTGATGATCCAAACTGAACTGAGGAAAATATGGATTCTAGTTCCCTTGATCTTTCACTAAAATACTAACTGTATTACTCTTGGTTTTAACAGGGGGTTAATATTGCTTTATAGGACACATGAATCTAAGTGTTAATAGACTTCAAAAGAGTCACACTAATACATCCTACAGGAAATATGCTCCTCCAAATTTATAAATCACATGCTGATTGGCTATCTAAGCAAGTATGGAAGAGAACTCTGCCCCCTTAGTAAATGACTCATATTATTATAATTACATTCATATGCTCTTTATGGCTCTCAGCAAGTTCTAATCCAGTTACATTACGTGTTTCTTACCGATTACAACTGCTATGGCCCCTAGTGCTAATCCCAAGACCAGGATTAGAGGTGCAATGAATAATTTTCCAGCTAGAAAACAAAAGACAAAATAATTTAAGGAGTCTCAAACTAATTTACCAAACAATTACAGCAACGCTTCTTAAATAACATAGTGGGTGTCATTTTTAAAGAAGTCAGAATATAATCAAGGCATACTTCTCTAAGAAATGTATCATGTGTAGAATAGATACACACTTATAAATTCAGTGACTTCACTGAAGTCCCACACACATGCATGAAATATCTCATAAATCATGTATTCTTTATAATCAGAAACATTCCAAAGTGACTGGCTCACTTTACCAGGACCATTTGTCTTGGAATTTTCCTTTAGATCATTTCCATTTTAAATTTGCAAGATGCTGAAAGATTAAGGAGTGACACATTCTGTATTGGCAAAAGAAAATCTAGTTACTCCCCACAATGAAAAACTGCTGGGTATTACAGAGGGCTTCTGTCCAAGCCCACATCTGAAAAAGTGGTTTATTTACGTCCTGGATCTAAACGAAATGAATAATATGAACATCTAATAGATTGGGCTACAATTGGGATGCTTCATAACTACAGTCAGAGAAAATTACCAATAAGTATACAGTGTGTTGAAAGTTACTCAAGTGAATCATTTAAACAAATTTAAAAGAAGCCACTTATACGATAAAAGGCTAAATGCTGGTGAGGACGCCATATGGAATTAGGCAGAATTTTCTCTTCTAAATGAGTAATTCAGCAGTGATAATAATAAACTCTAGTCACATGTAAACAGCATTAAGTCCACAATCCAAATCACACTTACTTTAAAAGACACTAGTGCACACCAGGAAACAGAGGCCAGTAATTAATATCTTGTCACTGTATAGAAGCCTTAAGGCATGTGACACAACTGTACAGTTGCTAACCCAAATGCAACAGGAGAGGAAAGGGAACACAGGGACTTTGCAGTAGAATCACAATGCTTTCAAAGATAAACCAGAAATATCATCCTATAAATTAAGTAATTTGGAATGACCAATTACATTACAAAAGAAATATAATGGAGTTGTTGTTGGAAATTTGATTTTTAAAATTTTTATTCTTAAAAAATGCTCTTTGGAACCATATGATCAGACTGTACACAGTTTTTAATGCATAATTTAAAAAGGTCACCAAGCAACATAAAGTATAACCATGGGTTTTATTCATACTTTTTACTAGTGACAGAATCCAATGAAGTAATACTAAATCCCATGAAATAATTATGCTTAGTACACTCTCATGGTTATGCTTTAGGATTTAGAATATATAGGCTTTTATATTTTAGAATTACTTGTTTTTCTCCTATGCATAAAGTTCAGTCTGTTCATTCATATTTCCTTTTTAAATAATTCTTCACACATTTTCATAATAGCAATGAATCATGACTATGAAGTAATAGCCCTGATGTTTTTTCCTTTCTAGCATCACATAACCCAAGAAATCAGATATGTATTTATTTAAGAATTATTTTATTTAACCTTATTTATTTTAATTTGATCAGAGGGAGGGAGAGAAAGTGAGAAAGTAAGCTGCCTGGTCCAGGACTTGAACTGTAGTCACCCATGTGAGAGTCCAGTGCCCTTAACCACCACACCATCTGCTGGCCCCCGATATGTATTTTCTATCTTTGGGAAGTAATAAACTTATTCCATTATGTAATCCATATCAAAACATGTTGAGGTCTGCTTCTGAAGGAGGGATCTTGAGGGGTTAGGCATGCTTTCTCTTTTCTTCTTAGTAACAATTCTTTTAAAACTTTAGTTTTCAAAAACAGGTCTTACTTGGTCAAGTTCTTCCTGTTTCAACCTCCCGAGTAAATGTTTGCTCTGTTTTTTTGGCACTGCAAATTATATTTGCATATAAATCATTGTAAATCTAGCTAGATTTATCATATTTCAAAATGTCCTTCACATTGCTATCAACTTATTTTGCAAAAGAATCATACAAAATTTACAATTCATTGAGTAGAGTATGAAAGTCCAGCATTAAGTATTAACTTGGCAAAATATATGCTAATCAATAGTTCAAAAGTATTTCATTTTATTTGAATTTATGCTTCTATGATTACTAATAACATTAAATATTTTTAAACTTGTTCATTGGTTATTTGTAATTCCTTAATTCTGGTTCTTATGGTTTTTTTTTTGAAATTAGGAATTTATTTTGAGATGGGGCTCCATTGTTTTTTTTCACATACATTGTTAATCATCTAAAAATTGGTTAAAAACCTATTTTTTAAAATTATAAGACTTTGGGACCAGCAGACGGCATAATGGCTATCTCACTGGACTCCCATGTAGTTGAGCACAGTTCAAGACCCGGACCTGGTGGCTTAAACTGACACAGCTGTGTGTATGTGGCTTAAACTGACACCAGGCACGTGTGAGTGCATGCCCAAGATCCCGAAAGGAGAGTGGAGGAGAGGGGATTATGGGATGGCCGTCCCCCCTGGGGGGGTTATTTCTTGCTTTCTGTCTCTCTATCTCTCTCTTTCTGGTGAGCACACACACCCTATAGGAAAAACCTCTCCAAAATATAGGTGTGTGTGTGTATATATATATATATATGACTTCACTTAAAGATGTACATTTTTTAATAGAGTAACAGAAGAATTGGATAATTTTTCCTCAGTCACCTTTATTCCCAGTACCATCCATTAAGTAACCAGCTTACTCATTGCATGGGAGATGCTCCCATGTGAGAGGCTGTGAATCATTCCCAAATCTCTGTGCTCCTTCATTCTTTGTGAGCAGCATCTCTGATTTCCAGTTGGGCAAGTGGTTACACAGAATAAAGAAAGACCACTTTTCCCATCATCCAGCTGTGAGAGCAATACACGGCTCTTCCCCTGCCTCTAGCCAAAGACTGGAGGCTGTAGTCAAGACTGAGAGCGGGACCAGCAGATGGCATAATAGTTACAGCGCTAGACTCCCACATGGTAGATAGACCATGGTTCGAGTCAGACCCAGAGGCTTGAAACTCAAGCAGGGTGCATGTGTGCACATGCCCAAAATCCTGAAAGGAGGATGAAGAAAAATTGCAGCGTGGCCATCCCCCCTGGAGGGAGTTGTCACTTTCCGTGTCTCTCTGTCTCTCTGGTGAATGTATGTGCCCTATATCAAAAATCTCCCATTAAAAAAAACCCAACCAACCAAACAAACAAACAAAAAAAACCCTGAAAGAGCAAGCTGGGTTACATCACATAAGGACAGTGTGCAGGAGCGCTTTTCTCTAAGCCATCTTTTGGAAGGCAAGGAGTAAGCCTGGGTTACCCTCTTCTTTCATGTGGATAGAAGTAAGGTCCGTATCACTTGAGTTGCCATAGAACAGCAGTTAGAGGTAGCCAGGTTGGAGGTGGAATAGGTTTTAGTTAGTTAGTTTGTTTTGTTTTCAATTTGCCAAAGGGAATGTACGTATGTGAGAGGGAGAGAAAGTGAGAACACTCCCCTCATGGGGCATGGTCAAGTTGTAATTCCTTCTCTACTTCGGGATTCTGGGCATGCATGTACACGCACCTGACGTGTTGCTTAAGCTAGTGGTTCTGGGATTTGAACAGCACTGTCAGCCATGTGGGATCCAGCTATCTTTTATAATATTTTCTATTTTTATTTATTTATTTACTTATTTATTTAGATATTGCTGCAGGGTGCAAGTGCTTGCTGGAGCAAAAGACACAGTGAGAGGAAAAGTGAGAAATCAGCCCCAAGGGGGATGGCCATGCTGCTATCCGCCCTCTTCAATTCTCCTCCCGGGTGTGTACACACACATGTGACTGAGACTCTCAGGCCACTTAGTCCAGAACACTAACAGTGGTCAGCCTTGTGGGAGTCCAACACCTTAACCACCACGCTACCTGCCGGCACTGGGATTGAGCTATCTTAACCATCAGGCCACAGGGTGGCCTGGGAGAGCCTCTCTTAAAGTCAGGTGTTCCCTACTTTGTTAGGTTTATCCTGACATGGGTGTACATGCACATAAGTGTGCATACACACACAGAGTAGGAGGTAGGTCAAAAAGAAAATTATTTACAGAAAGCTAACCATAAAGGTTTTTAATTAAGAAGAAAACAGAAAAGACTGTACAGAGAAAATATTTCCCTGCTGACAATATCTATGAAGCTTTCAGTTCACTACCGATTTTATAGGCTGGAAAATAACATCTTTGTTTGTTTTTGAACCAGAGGAGAGGATTCTAGACGAATCTAGGCAAATAGCAAGAGGACTCAAAGAGCATATATCCAAAATATTACTGGACAAACAGGGCAGGAAATTACTCCCCTCATTTAAGAATGACTAAACAGAAAAACAAAAGGAGAAGAAAAAAAGACTAGTCAAAGCAAAGGTTATTTAAAATAAAGAATAGATGGAAACAACTTGCTAGACAAAATCTAAGATAGTACTGAAGTAGGTAAGAAAAGGACAATGTAGAATATATGAGTTTTCTGTTTTTAGGGGGTTGTCTCTGTATATATCGGCTTAAAAACAGGTTAGAGCTCAAAATTTAATTTGTAATTAATTTTCCCATGGTCTTACTAGTGTAAATAGGGGTCAGATGCCCTAGCTATCCTACCAAAGCTTATTTCAGTAAAAAGTAAAGATTGATTATCTCATTGTAATATTTATCATATAAGCAAGCAGAAAATACTAAACATCATTAAAACCAGTCTTGTCTACTGAATGTGGTGAGTTATGAAAAATTGTGTCTAATTAAAGCTCGGGAAGGCTATTTTTATAGAGATCATATCAAATTTTAGAAAATGGTGGTACTGGTTTCTATAGGCTCGGTGCATTTTGAGAGGAATGTCCTATCCATCATTAGCCCCAGCATGGCTCAGATTATCCAGCATGTGATTCTAGGGAAGGGTGTGGTTCATAATTCCCGTGATGTGACAGGTGGCTAAGGGGCTGTACAAAGAGATGTTCCTGAAGCCATTACGCAACAGCAGGCAGATAAGGGAATGGTTGGAAATGTGTGTGTAGGACAAAGACTGCTGGGGAAAGGAGCAGCGAAGCGCTCTGCACAGTGAGAGACAGAAGGAATCTTACAGTGGATCCATTCCAGAGGAGCAGGGGGACACTGAAAGAAGAAAACACCAGGGCAGAAGAATCTTGTATCACCTAAAGGCAGTGGTACAGGCCAGGGTGATTAGATTACAGGCAGGTGTCAGTGTTTATGTTTGTGTATGTGGGAAGAGGTCATATATGAGGCTGTGCATTGTTGAGGAAAAGAAGGGTAAAAAGTCCATCCACAAAAACATTTTCACTTTGATAATTAAACTTTAGTTTGTATGTAACAGGGGCATTTGAAATTAATTCCAATGGGACCAGCAGGTGGTATGGTAGTTAAAGGGCTTGAGACTCCCACGTGGCCAACATGGTTTGAGTTCCAGACCAGGTGGCTTACTTTTACACTTTCCTTCTCTCTCTTTCTGTATGTGTTTCTCTGGTCAAATTAAATGAATGAAAAATAAAATTAAATAAAATAATTATTTAAAAAATTAATTCCATTGATTGTTAGTAATTAAGTATTAATACAATAGAAAAACATATGCAATGACTTAAATATCGATGTAATAGAACTCTGGCACAGGGTTCTGGAACAGGTGCTTGGTTTTTTAGTTTTTAATGCATTTTTAGATCATGTTCCATGCTGCACTGTACTGTATGTCTTCCAAAAATGAATAGAGTATATGTGTTAACCACACGGCTAGGTCTGACCAATACAAAAATAAATGTGACATTGTTCTTCTCATCAAGTGGCTTATAACAGGATTTCTGAAATTTAGGAGGCTAATGGTTTTCATATTTCTTCTGTGACATTAATAATTTGCTTTCCAAACAAAATCTGCTTGCTCCTATACTCCCTTGCTAACAAACTTATATTTTAAATTTTTGATTGCTTGTTTTTTAGAGATTTTTTTTTCTATAGGGCATGTGTACTGGCTAGAGAGACAGAAAGTGAGAAAACAACCCCCCCCCCCCCGGGGAGAGGGGGGCC